ATTTTAAAAGTAAAATGTTTTGATCAAAGACGTCAAATGTTTTTGAAAGATCTAAAAATATTCCAAAAGGTGCTTTGTTTTGATTCATGGATGTGGTGATATCTTTAAGAAAAGAAAAGACGGCTGTTTCCGTAGATTTTATTTTTCGAACCCTATGTTGGCAATCTGAAAACGCATCGTGCTTTCTAGGAAAGGTTTTCATTCGTACCTAAAAAAGTCTCTCTAATAATTTTGAATAAACCGACAAAAGAGAAATTGGCCGAAAATTTTTAATTTCATTTTTGTTGCCTTTTTTGAAAAGCGGCTTAATCTTAGCAGTTTTAAAAATATCTGGAAAAACTCTTCTACATAGGGATACATTAAATATATAATGGCAGGCGAACAAACCTTTAACAATCTGGAAATTCATTTAAACCGGTCGAATATTTAAATTTTAGTCTATCGATTATTTTGAGAATTTCATGGGAGGAAGTTTTGGAAACGAACATCGTGTCTAAAATTTTTGGGGAAATGCCTGATGTTGAATTTTGTGGCTGAAGACCCTTAGTGAGATGGACAGCATTTCTCGAACAGTACTGGTTAAAGAGACTAGCCACTGTTGCCGGATCGTTCACATTTCTATCGTTAAAGTTTTAAACAACTTTCTCTAGAATGTTTCTGGTTCATTTGGTCGAATTGTTTACTGTTTTCCACATTCATTTTGTTGAATTATTCGACTTCAAAATATTCTGATCATTTTTGATGACTTTAGTCTGCCTTATGACTTCTTAACAATGATTTGTATTTTTAAAGTAGAGGAGGAAATCTTGAAATATGTTATGATGCTTAGAAAAGAAAATTCATTGGTTTTAAGAATAGAATAGTTGTAAATCGTCGTTAGAACATATTATTATTACTTGATATAAATAACTAATTCAAGTAAATGTGCATTTTTAATAGCAACAGTTTCAAGGATATTTTCCTCATCATCAGACTGGAAAAAATGTTTTGCAAATAATTCATATTATCATTTAATGGAAAAGAATTAATGACAATTATGTTTTTATCAAATGTTAAACTAATTAATGATTACCCAATATTAGTTATATCAAGCTTATCTTAAATATTATTTATTCAAAACTTTGAATTCAAAAGTAATTCGAACGATTTTTTAAATAAAAAAATTGAAGTGTCAAGGCAGAGAACCATGGTATCATAAACAACCATGTTATGTTTTTTTAAGTGCATTATCATGCAGTAATCGGCTCATATATTATTTCATGCAGTTTAGTATACATACCTCTTGGGGATATCTCAAGCAACCGATTTTTATAAATAAGGTCTCTAAAGAAAGAGAATTTCTCGGAGACGTGATAAATTGCACTTGGACCTTAAAAATATGAAGGATTTGTTTAAAACATGCATCTAAATATTAATGTCAAATGCAACACCCAGAACTCAGTCAGATATATCGTTAAATAACTTTCGAAACAAAGCTTTAAAACGAAGCCTTAAAAACTAAAATTGTGAGGCCAATGACATCAAAGAAACGTTCATCACAGCGTAATCTACAGGTGAGATATTCTTGGGCATTCTGTCAAATATTTGCTGGTTCCGTACTTATCGATACTAACAATGCCACCTATATTTCACTGAGGGTGCCATCTTTCTGACGTCACGCTTAAAAGGCGTAGAGTCCTCTATCTTATACTATTTACGCTCTCTTGGACCGTGGTTTGCATAGACTGACGAGTTATATTCAACATTCTCTCTCGCATCAACAACTGGAAATAATGGTTGCTTGGTAGCGATGAAGATTGTTTCGTATGGGTGTAGTCAAACATTCATTTAAAGTTTTTCTGTGGGCTATAGTATCAAATCCTGAAGATTATGGGCTACTAAACGTTTCATTGGGGCCTTTGGCCTCCAAATTTCAAGTTTTAAGACCCTAAAATGCTTAGTTTAGGAGTTATTTAATGATATAAATTCAAAAATCCTGACGTGCTGCGGGTTGCATTTGCCATGAATATTTTGATCCTTTTTAAAACAAATCCGTCATATTTTTAAAGTCAAAGTGCAACTCGTCACGTCTCCGTGAAATTATCTTTGTTAGAGGCCTTATTTATCAAGATTAGTTGCGTGTGAGAGCCGCAAAAGGTATGTAGTGTATACTACTAAACTACTAAAATAATATAGAAGATTATTTTTTCCAAAAACCCATGCGCGCGCTAATTTTTAAAATTTGTTTGCGCGAATACCATTTCCTTCAGAAAAATAAAAGTACACTTAAATTTAATTGAAAAAGAAGTACTTTCATGTAATGTAAAAATAATTTTTGCAAACATATTATTTTAATTTTTGAAATGGAAATTTTTACATTAGATCAACACTTGAATTAAGTGTAAAAATATGCATTTATTTGTACACTAATGTTGAATATATCTGCCAAATTTTAAAGTGGGACACACATACTAAATAACAGTGCATATGCCGCAAATGTGTTGGGCAGTGACAATGATGAATATACTCGTATGAATGAATGATCGTGGTAATCTGACCGAGTAACTTCGTCTTGTTTCTTCTGCTGTCTTCGCCCATTGTTTGCCTCTTCCATACGATACAAAATGTAAAATTTGGCGCTACGAGTTTTCATTGTCCATTGTGATTTTCTTAAGAAAATTTTTGGATGGAATACTGGAAGATTTTATTCAAAGACTGCTATGAATTGATATCTTAACTACTCCGCATCCTTTGTGCTATACTTCAGAGAAAGCAAATAATTAAACCAAAAAATATATTTCTGGTGCTGGAAACACGACATAAATTCAATTCACCCTTTTCAGTGTAAACTCATAACTAAAGAGTGCATTTAATGAAATGTCATTTTTTTTCTTTTCACATTAGAACAATGTCGTTTAGAATAGAAATTCATTTTGTTATGACAAAACGTAATTACCCATTTTTATGTCATTTTGTGCATTTTTCGTCGATTTTGACTAAGTAATTTTTACCTTTCTGCATAATTTTTAATGCATTTTTTCGCTGATTTCGTCGATTTTAATATCGTTTTAATGGTAGTTTATCCAAACGACATTAACAAGATGAATCAAATGTTCACCACAGAATTCCTGAGTTACTTTGTCGATTTCTTCGCTCATTATACTGTAATGTTAGCCTTTGTGAGTACTATGTAATCTAGAATCTAAGATTCCTGTTTCGCCTATTGGCGCTATTGTCAGTTCGATTCCGCGATAAAGGCAGAGATTTTAAAAAACAGTCCCAACCAAAAGTTTGCAAGCTGAGTTCTCTTGATCAAAAAGAAGCCTCGATTACATCAGTGATATATAAGTGTTTTTCATAAAATATTTTACGTCATTTTTCTTGTTTCGGGGCATTTTAAAAACATTTTAAGAGCATTTAATTGATCACTTTTGACAATGTTTTAGGTCATCAAAATCCACCCTCTACTAATAACACTTCTCAAGTAAGATTTTGACTGTTAACATACATATTTTTCGGATGGGGTCAGTGCCTAGTATTACAAAACAATGCGAGTTTATGCTTTCACAACGATGCATTCAATGTGAGTGCTGAATGGCATTTCTTCGCTTTGCAACATCATATGGAAAGGGACTATGTTACGAGGGGGGGGGGAGATTAATATATTCCAAAAGCTAGTCTTCAATCCTGACAGAAACCTATTAATTTTCCCAGGAAGTCATTTATGTAGATTTATGATAACGTGAAGAACATTGCCTTTATATTTTTAGCAACGCTGAACAATACTTAGAAGATTGTTGCAACAATAATATAATAAAAAACAATAGATGGCACAAAGAAAATACATAGTTCCATTTCTTTATGAAAGGGTGAATTAACGATATTCTCTGTTAAGTGAAGTAAAATAAATATCGACGTAATTAACTGTATCACATAGTACTCTTATTCGTATAAATATTCCGTCCGTTTAATACTAAATTGAATCCGTTTGACCCTTTTTAATTTGAATTAATTCGGCAATGATGGTCGTATGTCTTTATATCGCACTTAGTAAGGTAAGAAGGGATACTTATATTTTTTGGTCTGCGAAAGTATATAGATTGTAATCGTCTACTGCTGATTGGCATATACATGAGGGGTGACACCTGATGACACTAGCAGAAGTTGCAGCAAAACAGAAAGTATACATTTCTATTATATTTAATTTCTCAGTATCATCTCGATGTCTCAATTTGCAACTTACCAAACTTGTGTAGAACTTTACCGAGATTTTAATGGTATATTATTTCAAATTTTTAAATTGTCGACTGTTGGGAGAAATAAAAAAAAGGTCAAAAAATTAATGAATTCAATATATACATCAAATGAGAGAGAAACCTTTGTTCTTTCATGTCGCAAAATATTAAATTTATGTCACAATTATGAGATAAAAATGATTAACTTTAGCGATGGGAGCATTTTTTTCAAAAATTAATATAATCTCGAAAAATATTTGGGAAAAAAGAAAAACGCATGTTTCATATTTTTTCGTCTGCTCTTCACAGAAAAAAATTAAAATCAGGGACATCAAGGTCAAATTTTCCTTAAATTTGTGCGATTTGATGTGAAATGACCCTATGGCGTGCACAAACTAGCTACTGTGATTACTTCAGTCTATCACTTATGTTAATGTTTACGAAAATGCGCTCTGCTCCCATTTGCATTGTGAGGGACTTCATACGTACTTACATTATACGTAATAGATTATTTCCTACACACGAGAAAGCAAAAAATTGTTAAAATATTTTGTTTTTAAAAAAAATCCACGAAATCGTTCTTCTCTGGCTAGATGTCCGAGTGAAAGTGCCCGTGTTGAAACAACACGTGTAATATTGTAATTCCTATCAATAAATATTTTCTCGAATAAGAAACGTTTTGTATTAGAAAAAATGCGGCACTGAGGCCCACCCCCGCACTGTTCATGCTTTAATCCACCCACGATGTATATCTTACACCGTGATCTAGTTGCGTGCTTCCCTCTCCCTCTTTTTCATTGTTTTTTTTTTTTTAAATATTTTTTGTTTGTGTGCGTCAAAGACGAAGTCAAACCCACGTGGTCGTAGTGGTTGTATCATACAACGTGTATGTATTAGTATTGAGAAACGCAGATAGATCCTGTTGTGAATTGTTAATTCAGCGATATTTGTCAGATCAGCAATTTTTCCTCGTCCATTCACGTTTCAAATTCTTATGTATATATTTATGTTCATGTAATTGAAAAAGTACATGATAATTAGTAATAACAAACCGACGAATATTCAAACGAAGACACGTGAAACTGGGATAGCGTAAAAGACGTTTTCTTTCGATGATCTATGGACTTCTGCGGCCGTTTTTTATCAATACAACCAAAATGGTAAAAGATACATTATCTATTCATCTGCCCTCGAGACTTACGTCAAATGTTTGCCCATCACCAGTTCGCGATTATGAGGTAAAGTGCTTTGATATTAGCCCAAATATTTATTCTCGTGTTTATATGACATTTTTAACTTTTAGCTATGAGATAATGTTAGGTACCTACCCGGAGAGAAAAGAGATTTTATCACAATTTTGAAATTTCAAAAATTCGCCTGACATTTCCACAACGTTTACATGATTGTATCCAATTATAGGTTATTCAGTAAATCTGTTAGTTTAAAAAAGAAAAAAAAATGAATACATATCATAATATTTGGAGCTGACAGATCCAGTGTGAATTACAAAATTTAGTGACAGGAATATTCAATGTCATGTTAATTATCATGTTTACTAGCATTGCAGCCTTGAAATCAGGGACACTGTTGTAACACATGTGTTTGGTTGAAATTTGGTTTGATTTTAAAACAATGTATGTGATCAGAGAAGTGGATTTTCAGGTAACCGATGTAAATTAACTTTATATTCAGTCTATTTAAATGAATTAAGAGTTTATTATCAACTATTGAACTGTTGTACACAAACGCTATTTATTGTAATTTTTTTAGGGTATTCAATAAAATGAGAATTATGTTTTGATATAATATTTGTCCCGGTTTTTGGTATTCTGGAGAAAAGAATAAATTTTGTATGTTATGTATGCAAGGAAAGATTTAAATGTGTATTATAATGCTAATTGATTATATTCCCTTTTGTGTAATTGAATAAATGTGGTATGTTTTTGGGTTATTGTTTTTAATGTGGCCGAAAATCATTATCAAAGGATGGTCCATGAATTATATTAATTCTTATAGTAGAGAACATAGTACAATGAAAATATTGGTTGAGTGAGCTGAATTATAAAAGCACTATTTTAAAGTGGTGAGACTTGAGCTATAAGACCCACTCTTTTTCCTAAGCACAGGTACAAAATTTGTTAATAAATAAAGTGGACTTAAAAATTTCATTTGGTTTGGTTAAACTTTGACTTAGCTGGGCCAATGCCGTGGACGTTGTTTGAGAGGAGTAACTTAAATAACACAAAATTATACAACTACTTAAAAATGCTATTTGCAATCAATTGCTTTTTAGATATCTTTTTTCTTCTTTCACCTCTTTGTTTTTTTACAGGCAGCTGTTTCAACACTGAACTCCCTCCAAACTAACACAGCCCTTCTTGATTCATATAAGAAACAAGGGAGACGCAACCACTCAGTGCAACAGTTAAACTTGTCTGAAACTGTAAAATACTTATCTAGGTTTGAAGCATTTTTATTAGATAATACAAAAGTAAATTCTTATCTTACACTTCATTCAAATCTTATCTTTTTTTTTCCCCTTTGATATTTTGTTTCATAATAATTAGTTGTAATGGTAAATCATAATTAATTAACATTATTCTAATATTTGTTGGTGGCAGTCTTGTCCTGTGGATCTAACTGATATTTTTTATTATTTTGCTTGAATATATTTCCTGTTCCTAGAAGAAATAACATAAAAAAATTGATGTTTCGTTTTCCACCTTTTAAAATTGCCAATTATTGTAATTTTACCTTCCGTACTCTTTATTCTCTTTCCTATCTTTTATCATTTCTTTCATGATTCTGATTATTCCTTGGGTCTATATTATTATTGGTGATTCTCATCCTTTTCAATACAGTATCTGTTCTAGTATCTTCTTGAAATTCTTGTGTCTTCCATCCTATGCACATATCCACACCATTTGTTACAAAATATAACAACAAGGCTTTCATTTTGCTCCTAATGTCTAATTTTATCTAATTCAGAAATTCTTCCAAATGTCTCCTTATAGTAGAGAGGTCATTCAAGACATGCTTTTAAATTTTTGAATCACAAACACTCAAGAGCACAAATGTAGTTCAAATTTTTAAACTTTGATATTCTGCACTTTATTAGTGTGCATATAATGGAAAAAATAAATTTTAACAATTTAAGTTAGCCTTTAGCCTTCACTGTACTCCAAAATGCATATTTTCCTTCTTAAAAGGTTACTTTTTATGCTGTTTTGTTTAGATTTTTCCAAATTATTATCTGATTAATGAAATACTTCATGAATCTGAGTTCACTTGGCCTCACCATACAATTTTCTTTTGGCAGAAATGCAATAGCCTTTCAGTCCTGGGCTGAAATATATCCTGGCGGATAAAATTAATGCTGGAATTTTCATTACTCTGCAAGTATAGGGGATAATGTCAGACAAAGGTTTTACAAAGCTACCAGGAAGAACAAGGAGCAGGGTTGAGTTAAGAAAGTTGTCAGCACTCTTTTTGGGGTTAATCAAATCCAATCTGAATAGCATTAGCACTTCATAGGTTGCTTGTATCTATAATGATAAAAAAAATAAAATAACATGCACACATACACACTATTCTTAAAATTATTATACTACTTTCTTGTAAAAGTCTCTTCATGAAACGGCTTGAAACAGCTCAAAATAAACAATGTATATAATGCAGCATAAATTTTGAAATGCTGTATGCTTTCTCTCCATTATATTTTCCAGCTTCTCAGAAGTTAAGTTTTTTCTTAAAAATTTCCAATTGTAATTGAACTCAAAATATAGAGAATTGTTATTTTAATAAACACTGTTGTTCAGTTTTTCTAACTATATCTTAGTGATATGAAATACATAAAATGTGATAAAAAGTAATATACAAATTTTAATTTTTCTTAACTTAATAGATTCCCAATTTTTGAACAAAATAGAAACACTGGGATAATGTCTCTTCGTATGTATTTATTGTGTGGAGTGAGTTTTGGAGAGGCAGCACAACGGCTGTTCATTCAAAGAAAGACTTAAATCCAATTTATGAAAGAGGGGTTCTCATGTTTATTAAAAATTATAATACACATGCACACACATACCACATATGTATACATACTTCCACACTTACCTACTTTCACACACATTCATGCAATCCTTCCTCTTCTCTTCCCTTTGCTGTGTGCTCGTCCTTCCTCCCTATCATCTTTTATCTTTGGCTCTCCCCTGTTCTCCTATCTCCTTTTGTTTTCTCCTCTCTTTTTCTCATCTTTTTCTTATGTCATCTCTTCTCCATTCTATTTTCCTCTCTCCACACTTTTAATTCCACACCACTTGACTCTACTTCATTCTTATCTCCACTTCCTCTTTATTCTACACGCTTGATTTCAGACTACCTCACATCATTGTACTCCACTATCCTACGTATACTTCTTTTTCTCAGTTTTTACTGTTGTGCGGGTGGGGTTCTTCAAATCTCTTAGAAAATTCTTTGATATGTGTTCTATGGACATGCTCCTATTTCTAAATTCTTTTTATTAATTTTTTATTCAGTGGTATTGAATGATTGCATTTTTGTAAAAAGAATTTAGTATCTTAAATTATAAATTCAAAAACTGACAAAATTTTTAACTTGTTTAATTTTATATTTGAATAGTGGTAATAATGACTCTTGTTTACAAATATTGGGTCATATGAACTGTTCATATTAGATGTTTATTCTTATTTAAATTTTTGTTTCTTGTTTAGGACAAATGTTACTCTGGAGCAGTTGGATACACTGTCTGTTATTCATGTCACTGGCACAAAAGGGAAAGGTTCAACTTGTGCATTTTGTGAATCCATACTTCGCCACCATGGTTTTAAGACTGGATTCTACTCTTCCCCTCATCTAGTATCTGTAAGGGAGAGAATTCGTATCAATGGAATACCTTTATCTGAAGAACAGTTTACAGCTTATTTTTGGCAAGTGTATCGTGCTTTGTATGATGCGAAGGTAATGCAAAATTGTTATGAAAGCACCTGTTAATATATTAATATCTAAATATTTGCTAGTATAGTGTAATAGAATACTTGTATAAATGTGAGGGATTTTGTTAAGAACTACTATTATGCATTGATGAAGGTAATAACTTGTGTAAATCTTGAGCCTTTCTGATTAACGATCTATATCAGGGGTACTCAACTTGCAAGGCCTTGAGCGACACTAAGACCTTTTAAATGGTTGCAGCCATATTTTCATGACTCGGGCAATCCTTACCTTACTTCCCTATATTACTGATCTCCGCAGTTTGCCTGGCTTCTCTGAAATGGGAGGTGGGGTGGGGTAGAACCATGCGTGATATCAGGCCAAACCATGCATAATGCAGTGAAACACATTGGGATGATTTTGAATTTCTGAATTTACTAGGGGAAAAAATTACATAAATGTAAACCCAACCTATTTTTACATTAAAGAGGGTGTTGGCACAATGCATGTGCTAGTCGCACTACAAACTTGCCCAACATGAATGAAAGAGACTTTAACTTTTCACTAAGAACCTATTGTGGGCTACAATAAATGGCACTGTGGGTCGCATGCAGCCCATGGACGACCAGTATGACACCCTGATCTGTATCAAGGGTGGTCAATCTGTGGTGCATGCATCAATTACAAAGCATTGAATGATAATGAGTAGCTTGTTACATTGTAGCATTTGTTATTCTTGTGAAGTGGGTGTCGTGAGCAAAACTGAATCCTTTTCATGTTTTCTACACCAGAATGCTCACAATTCAAATAATACACATCACATTCAGCAAAAGCTGTCCAGAGTAATTTTTAAAGAAATTCTCTGTTGGCTGCAATACCATCAGCAAGTTCCACAGCAGAGATTTGTCTGACCAGTGGATCATTGTTTACTATTGTAGTTAGGTTCTCCAGTAAATGTCTCTTTTGAGCTGTTGTACTATGTGCCATTTCCCTCCTATGAGAATGCTATTGAAAAGCATAATGGGAGAGGCTTTCACACCGAAGAAACTGAGAGGCCAGAAAAGGTTAGGAAGATGTAATTACAACCTTGTAGTAATTGTGATTTGTAAGCCCCTGCACATGAGCATTGCGATGATGCACATTAAGTAAGGTGTGTTGTAGAATAACACTGCATCTTATGGGAAAAGGCTGATGAACGCTTTGGGGTTTCTGTATAAGAAACTGTTAATCTATGATGCTTGTCAACACAAGGGCAGGCCATAATTTTTCACGTCACAACCGCCCACATTTAATAGAGGGAAGCGAAAAAGATGAGAGGGGGAGAGAAAGTGGAGAGATGGTGTTAGCTGTTTATCATGACTCCCATTTCTCTGGCTATCAAGGTGTCAGATTCTCTGCATTCATAGGAGCTGTTGCTAATCCTCCTGTGGCTGAGCTTTAATAATGTGATATGGCAGTGGTCTGCCTGGTATTGGATATGTTCAGCTCGGTTTCTTAAAGAGTAGTCTGACGTGGCTCTCGCTGGAACTGCCCTTCAGCAGCTTGGGTGGTTCATACCCAATCCGTCCCACAGAAAAGGTGACAGATGTGAAATAAAATACAAGAAGTTGGTTGTTCGTAGTGTACATGCTTTTTTATTCAAAATAGTCTCCTTGTGAGTCAATACACAACTGGAAGCATTGGAAACACTGTTCAAAACAATTCTGATAGTCAACAATTGGAATTGCCTGCAGGATTGGTGTCGTAGGCTTCTGGATATCGGAAATCGTGTCGAAACGCCGTCCTTTCATGGCCATTTTCAGTTTGGGAAATAGCCAGAAGTCGCACAGAGCTAAATCCTGGGAATAAGGAGGATGGTCAAGCGCAACAATACCTTTTTCAGACAAGAATTGGCGAACGATCTTGCTTTTGTGCGCTGGAGCATTGTCGTGCAACAAACACGAAGTTCCTTGGTTGCGGTATTCAGGCCTCACCCGAACAATCCTCGACCATAAACGAGTTAAAACACTCAAGTAGTAATGTGTGTTCACCATTTGACCTTCTGGAGCAAATTCTTTATGGATAATTTCTTTGAAATCAAAGAAAACTGTGAGCAGTGTCTCTACACGACTTTTCTGCATTCGCCCTTTTTTCGGTTTCAGAGATTCTGGACCTTTCCATTCCGAGCTCAGACGCTTTGTAAGTGGCTCGTATTGAAAACACCATGTTTCATCACCGATTACGATGTATGAAAGGAAGTCTGCATCCTCAACGGCCGATTGTTTCATGTCTCTGTCAGTGTTCCACTCTGTAATGCTTTTGATCGTCCGTGAGTGAGTGGGGCACAAAGTGACAACAGATCTTTTTGCCCAGATTTTCAGTCAATATGCGATACACAGTTGTTTTAGGAATTCCAGTGAGCTCCTCGATTAACCTGGTAGATGCACAACAATCATTTCGAAGAATTTCAGGCACTTTTTGAACATTTTCTTCGACTCTAACAGTTGCTGATGCTCCTTGGCGTGGATTCAATGCTCTCTCTTCCATCACGAAATCTTGCATACCACTTAAAGACGTTTTTACGACTTATTGCTTCACTACCATAAACACGTATCATTTCAAAAGTTTCTGTGGCACTTTTACCCACTTTGAAACAAAACTTAATGTTCGCACGTTGCCCCATTGGTCTTTTCATGACCGAGGGTCAAAACATACTGTTGCAGTTTTATTTACTGCGAGCAGTCTGTGATGCCAGCGCTGTTCCTTTTAAAACAGAAGATGGTCGAAACACAACACTACTTAATTCCTGCATCAGATCACAAATTGCGCGATTGATTTCGCAATTATAAAATCAGTCACCTTTCCTATGGGACGGACTAGGTATATATACCATCATAGTATGTGAATTGTCAAAAGCTTTCTGAATGCTTCTTTCAGAAAGGAAGCTTCCAGGGCTCTATTGACATATGAACCTCTCTATGAACATTCTGTAATGCGAAGGTTTCCCATTCATTAGGGCTTGGGGCATGATGGCGATGAAATGTTTCATGATAAGATATAAAATATTTTAATGATGGCATGTGATGTCCTGCTGAGTGGGAGGGGGAGATGTACATCCATGATGGTGTCAACTGCTTACAATGGCCACCAATTCTCTGACAGGCATTGGTGTCCATTGCTCATGTGTTCCTATAGACTGCTGTACCTGCAGCTAACGATGCTTTGCTAGGCCGCGGTCCAATTGGTATTAGTGATGTTCTGCAGCTCCTCGTGGTAGACGTGTGGGTCTTTGACCTAGCACTCACCAGAACTTCCCCCAGCTCTAACATAAACTGCTACAGAAATTGTTGAAATCTTTTTGGAATCTTCAACATATTTTCTGTTTCATAATGTGAAGGTTTTTGTTAGAGCCTGAAACCAGATAACGAAGAAACAGAATATTGCCATTTTAAGGATGATCACAATTAATTAATTTAGTTGCAATTGAGTTTCCTACCCCGAGTGAAACAGATCCCTCCCCTATCCCTAATTTTCTACCTAAAGTATAAATTTAATGTAGGAAAGGTGCTTAAAGTATACGACATATCTGAATTTGCATTTAAAAAAGTTTGATACATGGTATGTAAATGGTTGGCCAACACTAATCTATGTGCTTTAACATACAATATAATTTTTATATTTCAGTTGATGAAGGTAAAATTCATATATTTTAAAATAAAGATTTCATATTAATTATTTAATTTTAGTAAAATATTTTCTCTTCAACATCGGTTTTGCAACTTGTTGAGGCAATCTCCTGACGCAGGGCCTTCAAGCTCACGGGCCTCTTTTCCAATATCTGTTGTAATGAACCGCCATATTATTATTTACAATATGAAATTATCCTTTGTTTAAAAGTTATTAATTTGTTTGAAACATCATACCCACACTTTTGGGTCCCAAATAGTCATTAAATCAGAAAAAGTGATAGGTGTTAAAGGTCATGTCTTCATGTCATCCACCGATAGGAATTGGCACGAGTGTTTTGAAGGAAATTCAAATGAATTCCTTGTAAATGTGTTTTGCACCCACAGATTTCTTTTCTTTGAATTTATCTATTTTCCTACACATTGTATATTGTATTATACTATTATTTTTCACTTTTTGTGCAGAACATTTTATGTTCTTTGGTATAATGGCACTTTTGAACTATCATAAATTATGTTGAAATATGTATGCGTCACAAGAATAACTTAATATGGACTTTATGAAGGTGTTCATTATATCAGCACTTATTTCAGATTGATGTTGAAGTTGAGTAAATATTAAGACATTAAATGAAGTGGTACAAACTTTCAATTGCGTTTTTCTCAAAACTACCTTTTTGCCGATAGGCCCTTTGTCAGGAGATCCCCTCAATTAGTAAATAACCTGATGGTTCTCTATCTATCTACTTGCCTATCTACAGGAAAATGAACATGACATGCCACCATACTTCAGATTTCTGACAGTTATGGCATTCAATGTTTTTCTGATTGAGAAAGTTGATGTGGCAATTGTAGAGGTAGGAATTGGAGGAGAATATGACTGCACGAATGTGTTACGGTGAGTGTTCATATAGTTCTAGTAAATTGATATCTTTTATGCTTTTCTTAGGTATCCTTTAGAAAGCACAACCATAGTATTTGAATCATTTCAGAAAAGTTCCTGTTGTTGGCATTACTTCTTTGGGAATGGATCATATGAGCTTATTAGGCAACAGTATAGAAGAAATAGCCTGGCAGAAAGGTGGAATCTTCAAACCAGGTGCTACAGCATTTACTGTGAATCAACCTTCTGGTGTTTGGGATGTTCTGAGCAAAAGAGCCAATGAACGTGAGGTAGATTGTTTCCATCTTATAATAATAATAATAATAATAATAATAATAATAATAATAATAATAATAATAATAATAATAATTAATAAATGGGCCTAGCAATGATCCTTGTGGAACTCCACCATGCGTTGTAATTGTGTTTGATCTGCATCTTTTTATGGTATTATTTTCTCAGTAGATCATTTCTGTAGATTGTTGGCGGTCAGTGAGAAATGATTTCAGAAGATTATGGGCAGTAAAATATAGAAAAAAAATTAATACTATTTAACATCAATCTGTCTATTATTAGCTTTGCTATTGTTACTTTAGCAAATTAATGTTTTATATTAATTATCTAAGCCATTATATATTACAAGGCACTTGTGAAACCTACAATCAAACACAAAAAATACATAAATGTGAATATAAATACACAACATATGCAATCTTGCATCCAATATATTATGTATGTTCTTAATAAAATAGAATAAAAAAGAACATAACTTATTCCTAGCAATAGAAACGCATAAAATAAAGCTGTTCACAAACAAACATGATATGTGCAACCACACAATTTACTTAATTAAAGTAACCCATTTCTCAAAAACCATAAACATGTAGTTGTAATATAATTCTCACTTACAAATTCCAGATCAACATTTAGGAAGTTTATTAATGAGAGAGTTATTTAGAAAGAGAGTTTTATAAAAATGTTAGTTAACTTATGACATTACACATAAGTTATAATTAACCATATCCTCTGTATTGTTAATCCTAAGTGTCTTCCATTGTGACAGCCCAGCTTGAGTGGTCCCAAGTAATATCCAAGAAACATCAACGGCAGGTGCGGATAATTGTTCTTTATTGCTGCTTTCATTGTCTATGATGATTTTGGGTATTGCAGTGTATGCCTACCTTTTCAACAACTGCACCAGTGGCTTTCAAGCTGTTTCAACCAGCAGTGGCTCCAACCGTTCCCTGGCAATCACCAGGCAATAACTTTTCAGAGGCCATACAACTAGCAATATGTGTCCATAATGCTATGGGTTTTGTTTGTGATGGGACTACCATCTCTAAGCATCCTAAACTTGCTCTTCTCTGAACTAACCCCTCATGAAGGGTTGATACTTCCGCTCAGCTGTTGAAGTTGCTTCTTCTTCAGGGAGAGAGTTCCCACGGTGCTTATCTATCAAATTCCCAGACACCATATGGAGTTGGCAATTATTTAATTAATAATTGTTACAGTGTATATTGGAAGTTGTTCCACCATTGGAGGAATACGATTGGGGCAGTGTTGATGTGATGTTGCCACATTCAAAACGAGTTCAAACCCTAAATGCATCATTAGCCCTGCAGTTGGCAAATGCTTGGATGTTAAGAAGGAAATCAGGTAATACAGTAAACATAATATCCCATAGTTTTAAATGGAAATTTGATGTGTTGATACATCTTGAATATATCATTAGTTTGACATAAACATTATTTTTATTGTGACATATTTTCTTTTTAAGAATTTAAATTAGTTAAAGAACTATTTTAAAATTTATGTTGTTTGTATTCAAAATACTTAATTGATTTTTGGAGAGCTTATGCATCATTTCATGATTCGTTTAAACAATTTGAGATTTTTGTGTGCCTGTAAGTACTGTTCATAGTTAAAAGTGTTTTATGTTTGTTTTCACATTATTTTATCTGGTTTTGATTGTTTCTTTCTATTTTTAAAATGTAGGATCTCCAAATGTTAGTGAAAGTTTACTCCATCATAACGAAATCAATGGAAGTAATTCAGTTTTAAAAGCATTAGCATTCCCTGTAACTTCAAAAATGCTAATGGGGTTGTGTAAGTGTTCGTGGCCTGGTCGATTACAGGTCCTTGAAAAAGGACCAATTTCTTTTTTTCTTGATGGCGCTCACACAATGGAAAGTATTGAAATGTGTTCCCAATGGTTTTTATTGCAACAAAGAAATTCAAGGTATGGTACAAACATTGACCAAAGAGGTCTTTATCATTTCTCTGTGCTACAAATACATGCATATATTACGTGTGATAAGTGTATACTTGCTTAAGAAACCTGGCATTACTTGGACATGTATTTATCACAGTTATGTTGCGTGAAGATTCTTGACCAATAACTGCAATTTTTTTTGTGTGTTTGGGTGAAAAAACACAAAGTATAATATTTCCAATTTTTATTGGAGATAAATTTTAATTTTTTCATATCAAATTGAAGCGCTCTGTGTTGCTCTGATATTCATTTTTCACAGTCTATCAGACAGGAATTCTATCTACTCTATCTACCTTGTTCACCCACTTCTATCTATTCTAGTGCACTCCTTAAACACTTATCACAGTCACGTGTAAATGCATTTAAGATCAATGTTCAACTTACCTTTATAAATAGACACGCAGGTGGTTCTATTACTTTCCAGCCTGACCAAGATATCGCTCATTAACAGGAAAATGTTCTTATCTTTAATTGTTGTAATGCTATGTTTCCAACTGAAATCTCACTCAATTTTGTGGAGAGAGGTACTTGAGATGGATGGGGTGTGTGAAATCTCATGATGTTTAGCTTCTTCATGACAATGCTCCCATGTTTACAATTCAGATTCCAAAGAATGTTGTGAGGAACTATAGCTTCAAGGAATTGGACCATTCATTCTACTGTCCAGATTGGGCTCTCAGTGATATATATCTACCACTTCCCAAAACTGAAAATAAACCCTCAAGGAAGAAAATTATCAGATGTGTAATCATAGAAGCAGTTTTTGACTACTTAGCGAACAAAACGAATATTTTTTCAAAGGTCTAGAAATGTTAATATACAGGTGTGAAAAATGGATTGAAGTTAAATTGAAAAGGTACATAATTTTTTTTTTTTTTTTTTTTTTTTTTTTTTTTTTTTTTTTTTTTTTTTTTTTTTATCAAAAATTATTGAGGCCATAAACTTATGAAACCTACCTCGTATGTGAAGGTTATCATTCGAAATAGAAACAGTTCACATTTTGCAATTTAACCCTTTTCTGGGTAATCAATTTTAATGACACGACCAGGCAGGCAGGGTCCAGTGAGCCGAGGAGTGTCTGCAACAGAATTATGCTTACAAGTGCACATTTGGACTTGGTTAATTAAACAGAACGCTCAAATAAAGTCATTTAATTTAACAAAACCTTTCAATTTCTTTTTCTTTCTTTTTAGATCATTTTTTCTTATTACAGATTGCACATACTGGTATGTTAATTACAAACAGGTTTTGAACAGATGATACATCTCAGTGTTTCCTACTTCTTTCCCAAAGACACAAATAACATTGTTTGTGGCATTGTTATAAATTTTCTGTGTTGTGGCTGCTACTTCTTCCCTGATAATGTGTATGATTGACAGGTGACACTTGTTATTCGAACTTGTTTGTCTCCTTACTTTTTTTGTATTAATGAAATTCTTTGCAATATCAATAATAAATAATCATATGAGCTCATGTTTTCTACATTCAGTCAGGGTCAGGAATGTACCTGTCGTGCAGTTTTCCTAAAAATCCGGGACTGCACACTACTTCAAAACTCACTCTCCTGAGTCTTGGCTACATACTAACCCATAGCAACACTGTCATGAAGGTGTCATTCTTTGCTCACATGTCGTGTCAGAAAATATCATGATGAAAGGACTTCCCAGCAATACCCAATAACCATCCGTGCCTTGCATGCACAGTAGTGGTCAAACAATCAACCACACAAAACCAGAAAATGTTTTACTACACACAGATTAGGAGACCAGGAGCCAATGGAGCCCTCTGGTCCAATTGCGTTTCAAAAAATCAAGATTTTTAGAATTATTATTCAGTAACACTTTCATAAAATGATTGCTTCTGAGTCCAGTGGACCCCAGTTGTCTGGATAAGGGTTAATGTAAAATAAATGAACAGTCCTAAGGGGTAATATACATTATCAATAGTTGTTTTGATATCATTTGTAGTAATTTTCTTAGTAGCACCTTTACTTCTATACAAACGCATAAATACTTGTACACTACAATGTGTACACACACTGCACAGTTCTGTGGTTTACTTGTTTGATATTTTGATTTTAAAAATGGGTAAGTACCATTAGGCTGCATCTACTCTGAAGCAATTTTTCAATTAATAATAAATATTTATTTATTTAAATTAATGGATACATGTCCACGATACAAAATATAGTAGAGATATAATAATAGTACAAAATATAGTAGTGTAGTAGATACATAAATATTGTAGTAGTGTAAATGTAGTTAACTTATTCATAAGAAGAATATTGTTTTGAATCCGATTTTGCAATGGAGCTAGAGAATCACAAAACCAATCTATGTGCCTTCCATTAGCATTATGTATGATGGGATATAAATTCGAATTGTGTAGATAGATTCTGTCTAGATTCAAAAGTAGTGTGATTCTAGATGGTACTTGGAAATTTATTTCATTAAACAAGAATGCAGAGTAAATTTCATTTCACAGATTTTATAAAGAAATAGAAGATTATTGGAGCAACATTGAGATTTTAAAGTTTGAATGTTAATATAATTTGAAATCTCAGTATAATTGTGATGTATAAAAGGGCCAGGAAGATTAATTCTTAAAAAACGGTGTTGAACAGTTCCTAAATTTGTAATAGGTATTTTGAAATTTGGGAAGCAAATGAGTGAAGTATATAATAAAATGGGTGGAACTGATGTAAGATAAAGTACACAAGGTATCAAAAGATTGGAATTCTTCACATGATCTTCAAATGAATCGTAGAGTACGAAGAACCGTATTAGTAGGGGACAGATTTTAATGACCTAAAACATTGATAAAAATCATCAATAAAATGCTCGTAACTTGTTTTAAAAATGCCCTAAAAACGAAGAAAAATGACGTAAAAAATTGATCAAAACCACTTCATTTGAACATCTCAAACTGGATATATTACCGATGTAATTGTGGCTGCTTCCATTTATTCCAGTGAACTCAGCTTGCAAACTTTGGATTTGGGTTGTTGTTTAAAAGAAAACCTCTGCCTGTACTTATCGTGAAATCAATTGAACTGACAATGTCACAGGATTACACACTTCTGACAGTGGCTAACATTACAATATATGAGCGAAAAAGGCTACTCAGAAATTCTGTGGTGAACATTTGTTGCATCTCTTAAATATTGTTTGAAGCAAGTATTGTTAAAATTATATTAAAAATGATGAAATCAGAGCAAAATGAACTAAAAGTGACATAAAAAATTACAAAATTAATTATTAGTCGAAATCAACAAAAAATGACATATAAAAATGGGTTATTTCACTTTGTCATAACAAAAATGAATTTCTATACCTAAGGGCATTGTTCTAAAGTGAAAAGAAAAAAAATTACATTTCATTAAACCCACCCTCTACTTATTAGTAATATAATTCATATGTTAGTGAACGATAATTTACAATCCATAATATCTTCAAGATATATCCAAGTTATTTACATTGAGATACATGTCATTGATGTAATCTAGATATATCTAAGATACTTACATTGAGATAAATATCATTGATGTTACCCCAGTGAAAGAGATCTAGGCCACACTGAATCATTTGAGTATCTTTTCCTGACCTAGTTTCTAGAAATATTTTTAATTAGTCAGCGTATAGAAGCTGATTAAAGCGATTCTCAAGACTGTTTATAGAAATAAATACAGAGTGGCCAGCGAACCTAAAATCCTTGAGAACCGTGATTTTGGAAAAGACTTGAAGAACTTGGAGAAAAACGAGAATTTTTATTATTTTCTGATTTATTGCCAACATTTAGCACATATTTGCATACATTATCATACTCAATAAAGTGTACAATTAAACTCGATACATGATAATGGCAAGTATGTATGAAAATGTCACATGTATGTTTAGGATTGTGTAGTCCTTGACTCTTGGGTCACACAACTTTAAGCACTGTCACATGGGTGGAGTAGGTAACACCCCAGAGCATCCATATGGTTGTCTATGGGCAGCAAGTGCACAGAAGATGTATTCGTGGAAAAGATGACTCACCAGGAATTCAGTTGCTGAGTTTTGATGTGTTGCACCTCTTCTTTGATGATATTGACAGTGCCAGTTTTCTATTCTGACTGAAACGTCTGTGTTATCACCTCCATGATACTCAAAGATAATCAAAGGCTATCAAAGATATGTTTCTTATTCCTAGAGATTTAAAGTGACAGTCCAAATTGACATGCGTACCTCTTGATAGGGTTGCATGTCAGGAGTATGCTATTCTCAGCACACGATTTTGGAGGTAGTGACACTAATATTGAAAGACATTGACGCTGAGTTATCAGTCTGTGGTGGAACGGTCTTAGTAATCCTCAAAACATTTCGTCAAATTAATCTTGGTGATCGCCATTTTCATGAACGACAAATATTTGACACCTTGGTACATTTCACCGACTTCTGGGGTAGAGGACTCTGTTAGCTTTGACAATTCGTCAAGTTATATGTTGATTTATCTTCGTTGTACAAAGTTTGTCTACAATGTCACAACATGGAAGATGTCCGCATTTAAATTTATGTAAAAATTGTTATGATCATAAATACCATTACTGAAAATCTTTTTAAAATTGTTATATTGCAAAATTGATTTTCGCTTTCAAGCAATTACAAAGTTTTATTGAAAAAGGCAATTTTGGAATGTTAATAAGCTTACCCTTCCCTATTCCCATGTAATTAATCAAAAGAAATTTAGCATTTTTAAGTAATCTTGAAAATGGTATATGGACGTTAGATAATCTACAGTAATCTTTTAAATTCATGAGGTGTTTAGTCATGTCGAAAATGCAACATCCTTTGTGACAAAATATTCCTACTTGTGTGTTGAAAACTAATGTTTTTTGTAGGTGTTGTTTTCGGTAAGACCGGCGTAAGTATTAAGGTGACTTCAATCCTGAGATAGACTTCCCGGCTGAAAATATATTTTCTTAAACATTTTAAGTGCAATCTGAATATTAATTAGTAACATATCTTTCCCAAAACAAACAAGTTTTTTTAAAAGCTGTGTTTTACAAAATTCTATACTTTAGTACTTAGTGACGAGAGAATAGTATGGTTTAGTAATGAACAGAAGAAACTGAAACCAAGAAAAAAACTTGAATTCCAAAAAGCCAGTTTGCTAATCACACTGAAATAATAAATGAATGAATGAATGAAGAAAGGAATGAACGAATAAATGAATGAAGGAATGAGTAAAAAAGTGAATGAGTAAAGTAATACACACATAAATAAATAAATGAAGTGTAACTTTTGCAGTACCCTTGATTTAAAATAATTGGTTTAGATATAAAGTTTTTAAATTTTACATATTGTGTTCTTTGAGATAAGTAGTCTACAAACCAATCTAATAAGTTAATTTGTACTCCAAAATGTAATAATTTTTGGGATAATATTGAGTGGTTAATTAAATCAAATGCTTGACTAAAATTGGTAAATATCGCTTCATCTTGCAAACTCTTTCGAAAAGCTTTTTATGCAAAGTCTGTCCTTGGAAGTAGACAGACTGATTTTTTCTTTAGGGAGATGGACACGGCCTAGGAATTAAAGGTTTTGAAATTTACTCAGTCCAACTACTCAAAGAACACACCTTGTATAGATTGTGTAAAACAAGTTAAATTTGATTCTGATAATAGTTTTGATACAAAACCATGTTGTTCAGACGATAGTAAAGGGAGAATAAGCGGTGCGATTTGATCTACAATCATTGATTCAAAGATTTTAAGTATAGTAAGTTAAAATATTCATTATAGAGATGAATGATAGTTCTCTCTGTTGTGTGTATTACCAGATTTACAAATTGGATTTGTAAATGATAATTTCCAAATGTCTATAGATAGCATCAGTTAACGATTTCCCCAAAATCAATTTCAAAATTGGTATTATTATGTAAATACAATTGACTTAAAAAAAACAAACAAGGAATTCCATCATTCATCTTTATTCTTTTCCAATTTGATGATTTTATCGAATACTTGGACAATACTGTTGTTAAGTGATGATATATTATGAGGTGAATTGATAACTAACGGTATTTGAATAAAAGAAGTTGATTAGCAAATTGAAATTAATCTGCAAAAGAATCAACAATTAATTGTCCATTGTCAAAAGCCACATTATCAAAGAACGTTGTAATAGGCAAACAGTTTCCTAATTTTTTTGATTGTATATGATTCCAAAAATAATTTGAATCTTCTTTATTAGAACATTCGACTTTTTTTCAAATGTGAATCTAAATCTCTGTTACTCAAATATTTACATTGTCTCCCCAGATTGGAGAAAGAACTATATATAAATAATGGTCTATGTGCCTAAAAGGGACAAATTGAGTCAGTTAGTAATATGATATATTATTGCCTATAATGTATAAAATGGGCAAACTCCTTTCGTCAATACTAGTAATTGGATACCTGGCCACTAAATGGTTGCTGAGTTATGCGTCAGGAGCTGTTTAATGAAAGTGATATAATTGCCATTCTAAGCTTAAAAGACATGTTGGGTGTTGCTGTTATTTCATGGCATTGAAATGTGTTGTGTGTATAGAAGTAAAAAACCAATGAAATGAGAGAATCTACCCAGAGGAAAAGATGTATATGTCGAGATGGCAATGTGCAAGCAGAGAGAAAGATGAGATCTGAGGATCTACCATAAATACCCAAGAGCAGAAAGCATGTCCAGAGATGAGCTCCACCAAAGTAGCAGGTAAAATAAATATCTGAAAATTATGGAAAGAGAATTTTAAATGTGTGGAGTGATAAATGAGTAGCACAAAACTAAAACAAAATGCTTTTATTTGCGTGGCTGCATCTTGTTGCTAATGGTTCATGCCATGAAATTAATCACAAATATTTGATAAAAGGACATTCGTACAAGAGTTGTGATAAGGGCTTTGGAAAAATAGAAAAAATAAAAAGGAGAGAGAGAGATGTGAAGTGCCCTTCAACTTGGTTAAAATGAGTAACTGTTTCATCAAAACCAACCTTTTCAAGTCACCTTGTTGGAGGAAACAGAATTCATGAACTAGCTGCAGCAGATTTATTACAAAACATTAGTAATAGGCAAATTTCAAAACCACAGTGGATTAAAATACAAAGGATCAGCCAAGAGTTGTGAAAGTCAAGAGTCATCTCAGTGATGTAGAAAAGTATAAAAAGACGTTCAGGAGAATCTTGCACAAAAAAAGTTTTGCAGACACAGATTCCCCAACTGAAATGTAACAGTAAAGTTTCCAAAGAAAAAGAAAAGGGCTTGATAAACATGTTACAGGCTGAAAACTGGGCATTTCATTATTATTAGTTATTAATAATTAGTAATTATATGTTAAAAATTATTACAGTAAAAGAAAATTATTGTTAACAATTTGAAACATTATTAGGATTGAAATTATTGATTTTTTAAAATTTTTAGTTGAATATTTTTTAAGTGTATGTAGTTTTGTTCCTGTTGGACTTAGTACATTATTCATGAAAAAGCTTCTTCATTTATGTCATTTCACTTTTTTCTTTCTTAAGTTTCCATTATATTCCTATCGTTATAATATACACATTATAAAAATATAGTTTGTTAATGAAATGACACCTTTCTTGTCCAAGTATTCATAATATGCAATACATAAAAGTTTTTGGCTTTCTAAAGAATTGTTATTTTGGCACTTAGCCCATTATTTATTTCAACAATACACATCTACAATTAAAATTTAACTTGTTATCGCAATAAGTTTTTGTTTTTTTTATCAAAATTAATGACAATCATCAATAAAAATCAGTAGTGGTAGTAATAATAATAATAATAATAATAAAAGTAATATAAAAAATAATGGGAGTAAGATTTGTATGCTATGTTTGATTCTTGATTGCTCAAAGGTATTTGTGCTTTAAGTGGGAACAACCCACCCAGTGATAATTTTTTTTTTGTTGACAGATGTTGTTATAAACAAGACTGAGATAAACATGATAGAATTTATTTATAAATTATTTCTGATTTTGTATTCATATTGTGCTTTTGATGTTTCTTTCTGCATCATTTTAGTGCCATTTTGTGTAACTCTGAAATTCATTATTGTAGACGTTGTGTAGTCTAAATAAATAGCTGAAATGTCAACAATGAAAATTAAATTAACTGTTTATGACTCAAACTCAACCTGACAAATAAAACAATACTATTTAAAAATCTATTGCAAGAAGTTATTAGTGTAGTACTTTTATATTATGGTCATGAATTTTATTGTATAAATAAGATTTTTTTTTTTTGAATTCCAGAGATGTTATGACTATTCTAATCTTTAATGTGGGAGGAGAGAGAGATATATTCAATTTTCTGGCACCTCTAATTAAATGCAAGTTTGATGTAGCTGTATTTTGCCCTAATGTAGTTGAGAGGTGTGTTCCTGCAACTTCAGGTATGTGTAAAATTTAAATTATTCTTCACTTACAATATTGGCTAATAAATTTGATATTATATTCTATTTTGAGTATTTTTCTTTTGTAAGTTCTTCTTCTCACAATTTAAATCTCATGATCTTCAAAATGCTCATACCATATTTACACAAATGTAAGACAGGTTTTTTCCTAAGTATCTCATTCGAAATATATGTGATTGTCTTATATTTGCAGATTAAGCCTAGTAGGTTAGGATTTGTTTTAATATTGCCTTTCCAGGTTGCCAAAATTTAAAAAATACAATTTTATAAGTTTTATTTAACTTTCATGTAACAATAAGCTGTAAAGATGATAAAAACGTCACATGTGCCTATTATACGTAATTATATTTCCGGACATATTATAGGTATTGGTGAATTTGTCGCATGATTCAGACCAATATTTTTGAATAGATCTGTAAACAGAATATCTCAAAAGGAGGGCTTTGTATCAAGTGAAATGCAACAAAAACAGCCATAGAGATCATTGCGAAGATTTTGTTACATGATGCATTGATTGATAAGGCCAACAGAGTCCGTTGAGTGAGTGGAGTGGAGAATAGACTCCGTAGAATCGCACTCTGTGAGCAAGAGATGAAAATGAAAGATTTGATAGATGTGCGCATTCTAAATCTAACCATAGAAAAGAATTATAAAAAAAGGATTTACTTAGGAAAAACTACCCCAACTTGGACACTTGCCGCTATTTCCCATGTTACCCGTAAAACAGAAATGGGAAGTTTGGAGGTTTTAACCAAAGAGTTTGTCTTAGAGACAACATTGAATGTTAAACCCATAGGCAATTTTAAAATTTGTAAACAATTATTTTCTCAGAAATAATTTTTTCTTAAATTTCCTGTAAGAATAGATTGAAATACACTTATAAAGGTGGCATAGGTCCGATTTTCAGTGTTAACTCTGAGTTTAAAAAATTGTTAGTAATTTTCACACTATGTATCAAGATATATGTGCAATATATAAAAAATATCAAAAACAAGAATTTCTCAAAACCGGATGCACATTTTTTCTGTAAATGTTTGGTTGGGGAAGTGTTAAACATTCTTATGTTTAACTTATTAAATGTATTGTAACACTTTTAAAATCCTTCATGTTTCAAAAATTGCCAAGTTCAAATTTTTTTGTAAAACCACAATAATGAATTGATGATTTTCCTTAATGAGATCTGTTTAATGTTCTCCTCATATTGACCAAAGCACAGTAAAAAAATTGGTGCTAGTCTCTTTTGTGGCAAACACTGTATTTTCAAAAATTGCAAAAATTTAACATTACTTAAAACTACAAAATTGAAGATGTTTGCTTTACACAAAGTATTTCTGCAAAATCAGTTCTTTAAAAAAGGTCATGTACAATTTTTTGAATAATTAAGTAGATACGGCATAATTTGTGCTTGAAATTAATACAATTTATGAAAAAACAACTTTTTCTCAAAAACCGCTCCAAATTTTATCTTTATTCCCCCACGGATTGAACAAGGAATAGTTAAAAGGATGGCGCCAGTTTAATTTTCATTGAACTGTGTGAATTTTTGAAAATTGCATTAAAAAGGTTGAGGCTTTATGTAAAGTATCCTCCAATTCAAAATATCCATTTCGAAATTGCAGGGCCTCAAATTCTATCATATTGATTACGGATTATCAATTTTGGAAGAAAAAGTTTTAGGTGCCTGCATTGACCATGGACCGACAGCATTTAAATAGAACATTTAAATAACATTAAACAACATTTAAATAGAATTATATTGTGATAACCAATTTAAAACTTAATCTTAATCAATTTAATTGTTAAATGTCACCTGAGTTGGAGTTATGTTGTAAAGTAATGAACATATGAATGTCGTGTGGAGTGCTGTTAACACTGACTTTTTTGTGCATATGTAAGTTTGACTACAATAGAATGTGTTTCCCCAGAACATTATGCCATATGTCACGCAGGAAAGTACATTCCCAAGCTACATGCAACATGTTGCAGGAAAGTTGTCTGAATTTGAAAGAATTCTGAATGTGCTATGCAGTGAGCTTACTTTAGTGTTCAATTAATTTTGCACATTTTCAATGGTGCTTGCAACTGCTTATTTGAAGTGCAAAGCTGCACTTCACCAAAGTCTACCTGGGAAGAACTGTGGCTACCTCAGAGGGTTCTTGGTTGGGTAGATTCCTAGCCTAGATAACTACAGAGGAGAAATGGTAAGGGAATGGGCAACCCCCCCTCTCCCAAGACCATAGATATGGATGGCAGAGAGTGGATGTAATCCCAGGTATGGCAAGAAGTACAGGTTAATGCTGGCCCCTGAGGGGGGAAGGTTTTTAAAAAAAGAAAAATGGTTGGTTCCGCAAATTTCGTTTTTCTAAATCCCTTCTGAGAATGTGAAATGGCATTGTCATTCCTGACAAAACTTCCCGTTCTTATCCAAAAGTCTTCTTAATATTTTTGGGAAAATTGGCAAAAGAGAAATTGGCTAATGCTGGGGAAATGTTGAAAACTGATTTTTATGTCCCGTTTGTCAATTATATGCTTTAAATGTTTTTTTTCTTTATAATAAATAATTTGGGATCGCAAAGATTAACAAATATTGTAATACATCTGTTGCAAGCATTCTTGAATAACCTGCCATTGTATGATTACCATTTAATACAGTTTCTCTTGAAGGAAATGTTAAGGAGGAGAATTGTTCTGCCATACTGTTGGTTGTGTTTAAATCAGTTTGGTTTGAGCCATTCTATAAACAGAATAAAAGGCCATGGATGTACATTGTTAACTCATCATAAGTCTGTAATATTTAAAATATTGAGGTGCACAAATAATAAATATGACTAAATAAATATTAATCTTTTAAACAATTCCTAAACTTGGAATCCATAAAAAGGTAGTTAATGAGATGAGGAACATGGTATAATAGCTATTGGAATATTTATTTTCAGATCAGGCAAATTTAAAGGTATCTGCAGACCAACAACAAACTTCCAGTAAAAGAATTCATAAGATATGGAACAGTTTTTCTGAAGATTTGTTAAACAACAAAGATGTGGAAACCAAAAATGAACAATGTGAAGAAACAACTAATGTACTAAAGCGAAGTTACTTTTTTCCTTGTGTTTTTGATGCTGTTACATTTGTAGAAAATCAGGCAGTAATGCATAACAAAAAAATACATGTGTTGGTGACAGGTTCATTACATCTTGTAGGGTGTGTTTTGAGTATATTAGATCCAGAACTCTCTATTCCTTCTTCACATTTTCTAGCTGAAAAACACTTTGTCAGTGCTTAATGTTGTGTATGAAAAATTAATTGTACTGTGAAATTTTATATTTATGTATATAATTTTGAATGTTATCTCTTTATGGTTGTTTATTAAATTTTTTAAAAATTTTATACCATTTGAAGGTCAGTTATTTTAAAATCCTTTGTGCCGTGGAATTATCATGTTTCACCAGACGAAAATCATGAGTGACTGTTTCCAGGGGAGGAATACCCTTGTATATTTTATTTTGTATGTGGTAATCAAATTATATATTGCTTTGATATATGATAATGTGGACACATTGCAGTGCGCAGATGTGTCAGCCCATTCCCCCGGTCCGAAGCTTTTACTTCCCATGGCGCCTGAGAAAACCCTGGGAGCCAACTCCTTGCCCCTCGACAGCCCCGAAAAGGCGACCCCCCCCTTCGACCTTCATCGTAAATCCATCCGTTGGTGCCCACTACCGCTCTCCATTCACAGGGGTCCCATTTCACACAGTGAAAGACTGTCACCTGTCGAGACAAAGAGTGCTTGACAAAGATCTCGCACAGTAGCCAGAACACAATGATCTTTATATTTCAAACCAATTTGTCATGAGCAAATGTGCAACCCAACAAACTCTTCAGTCTACTGCATAGAAAAGAAGCCAGACAAGGATCTCCAGTGAGATGTTGCCTTTTCGAGGGAGAGCGGAACAGTTGCCCAAAATGATTCTAGAAGAAAGTTTAAATATCAAATACTAACTCGTAACTGTGATGACGTGGTCGGGGAGTCCCTAGAACGGTTGGGATAATGGAAGAGTGGTGCTAGCGCACGGATAGCCGTACAGACTGATTCAGAGGCAGAGAGACATTGAGATTCAAGCAGAAATTGTTGACTTTCACTGGCCCATTGACAATCTTTTCTTGCCTTATTATTCGGCGGTAATGCGTGCGAGTACATTCTGTGAGAACAATTACAATCAAGCAATTTGTTGCTCATCCTGTGGCGTGTCCTTTATGTGCGCGCTGAGTACCCTGTAACTTATAAGAAGAAAAAATTGTAACAATATAAATCTAACTTTATTTTTAACCTAAATCTTCTAATTTATCGAAAGCGTTAGCTTAATTTATCTTTAGCGGGGTTTCGTTTTACACAGTTATGAAATGCCCGCGCTTGCATCGGTGTGTGCGAGCGTAACCACTGAGGCGCGCGGGGCGTCAGGAGGTTCGGTGCGTTTCGTGGGGGCCTGCAATCGGCTGAGTTGCGGGTGCTGGGATGAAAGCAATGTTTCAAACGAAAAGCTTGGCTTTAAATGCGTATACACTGAAGTGCGTAATTCTAAATGTATGTTTATGCTTGTACGTGCTAATTAAGATTTTGGTTTATCGTTATAAGTGAAACTACCAAATGAGTTATACCCTAGGGTACGCAGTCAGTAAGGTAGCGTTCTCTAGTGATTCGACAGGTCGAGCACGAACGTATGTGACTGTGGAGGACGTAATCTGCGCACGTTTTCTTAAGCTCCAGCTGCCTACTGGGCCTTTCTACCTCTACCCATTACGAAACAGACCCCGGATAATTGAATTGTCATGACAGTCGAATCCCGGATAGTAGATCATGATATACATCTTTCTACTGCAGGCATCAGCGTAGACAAACACGTGCATGATTTGTGATTTATCGACGAAGAGTTTTGTTTCGCGGAACTTTGAAGATAAGGAAAACATTATTAAGGCAGGAAGGCCACCGCCGAACATTACTATAACTACTACTTTCAAACTCTGTGTAAGGAAGCTTAATAGCCAACTTTTTGAAACTAATGAATAGCTTACTGACCATATATATTTTATTGCTTACCCGAACTAATCCCTTCACCACACGCCACTGGGTATATCGAACATACGCTCTGGGGTTGTGTGATTGTCGGAAGCGTACAAGGGGCATCCGATATGTGTGTTAGAAATCACTTTATTGGGCCTCGTCACCATCACATCGCATGTCGTCTGCAGAGTAACCTAGCCTTGGAAATGCAGCATTTTGAACGGCGAACTTGCCCTTCAATCGCTGCACAAATCCATCCCGAGAGGCGGCCTGCAACGTGACTCCCGATGTGGAATGAGGTCTGCCCGTAAGACGCGCCTCTTGAAATTGCTGAAAAGTCAGGTCAACGGCAAGGTAATGTGCTGAATCAATTGGCCTGACAATTATATGTGACGTAAGACGCTGCGAATAAATGATGGACTTCAATTAAGTTAGGAAGGCAATGGGACATAATTAACCTGTAATATACGAATAGGGCTTATGACTAGTAAACGCCTGTATTCTAATAGGATTTCCTTTTATTAAAACACGCTTCCGTCACTGGCGATGCGATTGCCAGCAGTACGTAGAATGTTTCATTGCTAGTGTAGAATTTGCATCGAATCCCGACGCAGGACAACCAATCTCCCTGAGGCCTCTAGAGCCAGCATTATTTCGGGCATGGCCAACATGCAACTCACTAAACCAATACCTTCTATTATAAAATTTGCTTACTCTAGGCCTGACAATTATATGTGACGTCAGCACTAGTTAAAATGTTAGACCGAATCGAACACAGGCAGTTTTGCACACAACACTAATTTTCAAGTAAATCGAAAAACCCTAGTTACATTTACGGACGGTTACAGTTGGACATCCGCACAAAAGCATTGACCAATTGGGGTAGTCATCATAGGAAAGCAGAATGACATTAACATTTAATTATGAACGCGATATATTTTTCCTAGAGGTTTTCAGCCTAGCGGCACGAGTGCGATATTACTCGCCTGGCCTCCAGAGTCGTGTGACAGCTCTTATACTCCGATTTAAACAAGTTACATTTGAAGATCACAAGCTGAAAAGAGAGGGGGATACTCTCATCGAACCGGGAACTTCAATACCAAAAATGTAAGTCAACCACTGTAATCATAACGAAGCTCCCAATGACCTCTCTCAAGCTGGCACTTCCAAAATCGGTTACCACAAAACCAACTATGCCACCATTTAGAACTATCTAATTGCTAATTAACTTCGCAAAATAAATCCTCTTCAGAATTTTGCGTAAATATGGTGGTGCCAGCTTAAGATTAAAATGGCACTACCCCAATGGGTCACCACAAAACCAAATATGCCATCTTGTAAAATGATTTAATTGCTAATTAATTACACAAAAAATTGACTTGCTCTTCAGACTTGTAATTAATTGTTAACTGCCGGCCAACCAGCCGGTTGGTGACGTCACGCAGTGTGACACCAGCGCACCAGATCACCGCCCGCTTGACTGTTGCGGGCAGATGTAAGGCTAAATGCACCGAAATAGTTCACCACCAGTTGTCGCCACAATGTAGCAGCACCAAAATAAGCCAAAATTACTAATGTCTGAACAAGTAGTCCGATTTTCAATCAGTAAACGGCATTTAATTTATATTTAAAAGTTGAAAAATGAGTTTTGGGATTTTTTTAATAGTTACAAGAAGAAATTCAAATATTTGGGCTTATAGCGCAATGGCGATGTGCTTCTTGAATCCAACGCCGTATCCATCGTCCAAGTCAGATTAATAGGCGCGCCGTAAAGTGAAATTTGGCAAAATACAATGCCTTTCTCCCCCATGCCGCGCGTGCGGGGGCGCCGGCCGGCTCCTAGGGGCACGGAAGCTTTTCGTAAAAGGTAACAGGAGCGAGGCAGGCAAGCGGGAGGTTCTCCCTTGACCCGTCTGGGATTCGTCGGATTATACTCTCGCTATTTTCCGCATACCAACATTATTTTTACTTTCTCGTATACGTACGTATATATGGAGAAATATACGGTGTAGAGAAAGTTATGTAATGCTGCGGGAAATCGATTTACGGACTTCAACGGAAAGGCATGTTTTAGGGCCCCCTGATATCGAAAAGTAATTTCACCCCCCCCCCCAAAAAAGTACTTCGGTCTGACCATCCGTGAACAACACTAGCGCCTAAACCATTCCTAGAATCTTTTCGAAAAATAATATTCCCCGGTTGATCTGGCCTGCCGCAAAACTTTGCGAGTTTCAAAAACATTCTTTAAATTTTCGGGACAGTTTAGATGAAGCCGTTGAGACATTTTTTAAATTTCCTCAAAAATGGCTCCAAATTTTTTATTCAAAAATTGCTTCCAGAATAATTTCAAATACGCTTCTAAAGATGGTATAGATCCGAATTTTCTGTTTCTGTCCTTGCAGTTTTGAAAGTTAAAAATGTTAAATTTTTCCTGGCATCTCCCCACAACTACAATATTTAAGATAAAAGATTTTTTCTTTAAATTAAACTTGTTCTCCCTAATTAGTTTTTCATTGACGTCATGCACATTTCTTTGAAAATGTGAACAGATTTCGCGCATTATTTGTTCTTTTTGCTTTTGTAAGCCCAGGGTCAAGACATGTCTAAGTTGTATTTTATTTTGTTTACTAAATGTACTGTTCAATTTTTATCTACACACTTATGCATTGCGTGGTTAGGCGGAAGAGCGGGCCTGGTGGCCCGAGACTTGCCTTATTATTATTATTATTATTATTATTATTATTATTATTATTATTATTATTATTATATTGCGAGAAATATGTACATTGCAAAACAATATCGAAAACAAAAATTTTTCAATATTGGCTCCCATTTTCGTTTAAACTTTTGATAAGTATAATGCTAATTGTACTACATAAAATAACGTAAACGCTTGCTGTTCCGAAAAAAATTGCTGTTTTTTCGGAACTGAAACAATCGTAATTTTTTTACGTTTCTCTCACGTTCTTAATATTTACATTTCCGCCGACTTGTATACATTATTGCGTTTGTGAGTGCTCATGCTTTAAATGATGTGTAATAATGTTCCTTGAAAACTCAAAAGTATTCTGAGAAATTGAGCTCGCAGTTCTACATTTTCAGAAACACTCAAACGCAAGTTTCTTAAATTTTTTCCATACAAATCTCCATAAATGACAAGTTTTTAATCTCCTATAGTAGTACTCTTAAAGCCATGTTTCTGTTCTATCATCAGGGGAGCGAAAAATTGAAACAAAAATTGACATTGATTGAAAAAAATATCTTTAAGTGGCAATGGACGGGAGCTGGCAAGAGGGTGGAAAAAAACACCGAAAATATAACCCATAGCAAAGAAA